ATGCCCACTATTCCCACTTCTATTCAATACAACACTGGAGATCCTAGTCAGCAGAATAAGGAAGAAAAGAAAAAAAAAGATGAAAAGGTACAAGGACTGGAAAGAAATAAGCAAAATGTCAGGAGTGTAAGCATGAAATATGAACTCTGTTTTTGATATCAACAAATAAAAACAAAGTTATTTTCTATATAACACCAATAAATAAAAATGATTCCAAGTATCATATTAAAAAAAAACACAAAAAAACAGGTATCTAGGATTGGGGGTATGGTTCAGTGGTAGAGCACTTACCTAGTATATGTGAGGCTTTGGGTTTGATCACAAGCACCACACTCACAAAAAAAAAGAAAAATATAACATAAATCCCACATATATCTAGGGTAAAATTTATGAAAACATATGTAAAACTTCTATGGGGAGAGAATTATAAATGTTCACTGAAAAACTTCAAAGACCTAAAGAAATGGAGAGAGATACCATACTATGGCTAAAATCTGATACGGTAAAAATGTAAATTCTCCTTAAACATTCCACGGATTTGATGCAATTCCAATCAAACTCCCAACAGGGTTGTGTGTAGATCATTTATAAGCAGACTCTAAAAAGGAAAGAACAAGAACAGCCAAGCTACTCTTAAAGAAGAAGAAAGAAGAAAGTGGATATGTTTTCCTCTCTCAAGATTTTTTTTTTTTTTAACATTTGAATCAGATGGGGTATAATTTCTCTCTCAACAGTTTTAAAAACATCCTAAAAAACTATAGCAATTAAGACAGTGTGGTATGGGATAGAACTAGAAAAACAGGATAGAATATAGAAACAGAGCCACATGGATATGGATTCTTACTTCATTATAGAGGTGGCACTAGAGAGAAAGGAGAATCTTTATTTTTTAATATTTTTTTAGTTGTAGATGAACACAATACCTTTATTTTATTTATTTATTTTTATATGGTGCTGAGGATTGAAACCAGTGCCTCACACATGCTAGGCAAGTGCTCTAACACTGAGCCACAACCTCAGCCCTGAGAAAGGAGGATCTTTTCAAAAGGTGGTGCTAGAATCCTCAGATGTTTATATTAGGGAAGAAAGTGACATTGGACCTTACCATCTACTCAAGGTGAATTGTAATTTTAAAGATTTTACAGAAGTTTTTTTTTTGTTGTTGTTTTATTTTTTGCATTACTGGAGCTCAAACCCAAGGTCTCACGCATGTTAGGTAAGTGCTCTACCACTGAGTTACATCCCCAGCGCCAAAGACATTTTTATAACCATAGGGAAAGAAAAAGATTTCCCAAACAAGACATGAAAGCCCTTAAAAAAAACTGATAAATTCTTCCCCAATTCAAATTAGGAACTTCTGTTCATCAGAAGGGGAATGATATTATAAACATAAGAGAAGAGCTAAGCATAGTGGTACATGCCCGCAATCACAATTAGTAGAGAGGCTGAGGCAGGAGGATCTCAAGATCAAAGCCTTAGCAACTTAGCAAAGACCTACGCAACTTGGCAAGACCCAGTCTCAAAATTGAAGAAAAAAAAAAAAGTAATGTGGATCAGTGGTTAGATGCCCTTGGGTTCAATCCCTGGTACAAAAATAAAAAGAATTTCTATGACTAGACAGGGTGGCACATATTATCTCATCAACCTGAGATGCTAAGACAGGAAGATCGCAAATTCAAAGTCAGCCTCAGCAATTTAGTAAGGCTCTAAACAATTTAGTGTGACCCTGTCTCAAAATAAAAAAATAAAAAGGGGAATGTAGCTCAATAGTTAAGCACCCCTGGGTCCAACCCCTGGTAATTACAATTAAAAATAAATAAACGAATAAATAAAAAAAGAACTTCTACAAATAGAATTTTAAAACAGACAATCTAATAGAAAAATGAACAAAGACCAAGGTAATAAATACTTCACCAACAAGGATCTCCCAATAGCCAATAAACATAAGAAACAATGCTCATCTTTGTGAATTATCAGAGAAATTCCAGGCATGTCACAATGCAATACACTACACATCTACTACACTGATCAAAATTGTCCACTTGGGGGCACTCACTCTCCTTCACCCTCACTCAGGACCAAGACAGAGGAAGCTTCTGTGGCCATGCTTAATCCATGATTACCAATGCAGAAAAACAAGGTAAACTTGTGTACAGCTCTTAAAAGTTTTTCTTAGAAGTGACATGCATCATTTTCACTCACATATCCTTAGCTAAATTCACATTTTTGGTGGCTAAAACAAATCACACAGCTGTAGTTAATTTAAGAGGGCACAGAATTCTAATTCTACCATATGTCCTGAAGGAGAAAGACCTAGAAATATCTGATTAATGGTTCTGATGATGACCACACTGAGAATAAATTTCGGGTAAGGATATGGAGGCATGGGAACACTCAGCCCATTGGTGGGAATATAAATTAATAAAAGCACTCTGGAAAAGTCTGGAAATACCTAATAAAGGGGCAGGTACTATGGCTTACATTGAGGCTTATCAGGTCTTAGGCCTCTTGTGCTTCCCCTTCTTCTCCTTAGGGACCTCACCTATGACCCACCAATTCCATTATCAAGAGTTATAACTGTTACAAGTGAAATGTATGATATCATAAACTTTTAATAATATTCATGCCAGAATATTTCATACACAATCTAAAGCACACAATGAATAAATAAATTATAGTATATTCATATAATGGAATCCTATGCAGAATGAAATAAAACCTTCTAAGGCTACTCATGACAAATTGGATTCTTATAACCAACATCAAGCAAAGGAGTTAAGACATAAAACAGTATTTTGTAATTCTGAAAGTTACCTTGAATGCATTCTCATGAACGAGGTTGGAATGGGGGGCTCTCTCTCTTCCAAATGAGAGGGGCTACACTCAAGTTCAACTTTCCATAATACCTACCACTGTCTCCTCAAGGTGTATCAACCCATAAGTCCCCAAGTTTTAGGTATCTAGCATCTCAAACTTCTATAAACAACTGATATACAAATGCAGACTGTCTGGAGTCTTTAGAACTTTGTGTATCTCTGTACTCCCTACAGTTGCCTGACAAAGAAAGAACACTGGGGTAGAGGGCAAGGAGGAGCCACTCCAGCAGAAACTAGCCCCAACAAACATCCAGGGGGACAATGGGAGGATGAGGGATCTATACCTTCTCTTCTCTTGATTGGAAAAATTTCCCTTCACCCAGTAAAATCTATCCCTTAATCTTTGCTCGAGATATTGAAGAAATGCATCTCTGGCTTAATAAACATCAGGTAGTATCCACAAAGAAACTCACTTTGCACACCGGGTGCTAACCATCAAGGTAATATATCATATTTTACAAAAAAAAATTTTTTTTAGTTGTCAATGGACCTTTATTTTATTTATTTATTTATACGTGGTTCTGAGAATCAAACCCAGTACTTCACCATGCTAGGCAAGTGCTCTACTGCAGAGCCTAAAAATCCTAGCCCCATTTTACATTTTAATGGTGTTTTAAAATAATAATGACAAGGCATATGGAGACACTGCTCCATTCCCCTCATATTCTCAAGTTTCTTAATATTAATCTTTTTTTTTTTCTGTCACTAGTATAGAAGAGAACTAGATTTGGACTATTTGCTCTCCTTAAGAGAGTGTACAACATTGTAGCACATGTAATAACTGACAAGCACAAAATAATTCTAGTATTTGCAAAGAGAAAGGGCCAAGAGATTTCTGAAATTTCCAAGATCCTTTCAAATGCTCAAAAGTATCAGTGAGCTCTGGATACCTTGCAAACTCTCAGAGTTCCAAGTAAGGTCTATCTAAGGAATAGGATTCCATGATTCTCCTGCACCAAGTTGCTGATAAAGCTGAAGCTGAAGCCAGAGTCAAGCTGAATATTCAAAGAAAACTTTACTCCTTTCCAACATCCAAACAAGAACCCACTGACTGCAACAGCCCCAAAAGTGGCATCTGCAAAGCCTGGTCGACTCAACTGAGACTTAAGAAGATCCTATTGGAAAACAAGAGATTTCCCCCAGATGGCAGCTGCTACCAAAGATGGACCTCAAAACTGCTCTGTCATGATGAAAACAGATTAATAAAGGATCATGGCCAATGAGCAGTAGTTTCCCCAAAGTTCTAACTTGCTCCAAGGGCCATGAACCACAGTGACAACAATTAGCTAATTTATCAACAAACAGCACTAGGGACAGCACATGCCCAGCTGGATGAAATAATGTTTCTATCCCCTTGCTGGCTATCATCTATGTTTAACTTGGCATGCTAGGACACAGGCCATGTCCCAGTTATGCTAGAAAAAAAATCTAAGAACACTACTTGTTCTGAATTCTGACTCTGAGTGTGCTTTCCTACAGAGTATCACCTGACCTCAAATTTATGTACAGGTATATTAGTCACTACACTACCCCTTAGGAAAGATATAAATTTTACTAAGTCAAAGCGCTGGTATTATAATTATTCCAAAGATTCATTATCACTGGTTAATGCCTATGAAACTTATTTTATAAGCAATATAAAACTATGTATCTTTTTTTTTTTTTAAAGAGAGAGTGAGAGAGGAGAGAGAGAGAGAGGGAGAGAGAATTTTTAATATTTATTTTTTAGTTCTCGGCGGACACAACATCTTTGTTGGTATGTGGTGCTGAGGATCGAACCTGGGCCGCACACATGCCAGGCGAGCGCGCTACCGCTTGAGCCACATCCCCAGCCCCAAAACTATGTATCTTAAGTGGCCACTTACTCTAGAGTTATCACTGCCCTACACCAAGAAGCTTATAACAGATGAACCACAATATAGGCCCAGTGATAATCTTGTAGATGTTAAAACAATTGATAGATCTTAGAAAAAAAAAAAGCCCTAAACCAAAGTTATTAAACATAAATAGATCATAGGACTATATCAGAGTAAAACCAAGAGAAAGAATATGAAGATGTAAAGGTGGCTAAAAATGCTATAGGCTCACAGTTTTTCAGTAACCCTGGTTTGAGAGAAAATATACCTTATCCATATGGAAGATCAAATCCAATTCACAAACATTTTCAAAACACTTATCCAGAGTCTCCACAAAAACCTAGAAAACAAGGAGAAATAAAGAACAGAAATGAGAACATATTCACAGATTAATATAAATATTACATTTCAAAATAAAAGGAGCATAACGATAAATCTCAAAAACAAAGAAATCCTCTCTTTTGTTTCCACAATTAGCTGTACGTATTTATCCCAATTCAGGGGGACAACCTAAGACAGGAAAACCTTATTTTTGGTATAATAGTACAACCAAGCAAACACATGTGGCATTCTTTCCTTTTTATTATAAGATGCTAATTGCATAAAATAATAACAAGTTAAAATATCAACTATTTATAATTCCATGTCCTTTTTTTTTTTAAAGAGAGAGGGAGAGAGAGAGGGGAGAGAGAGAATTTTAATATTTATTTTTCAGTTATCGGCGGACATAACAGCTTTGTTTGTATGTGGTGCTGAGGATCGAACCCGGGCCGCACGCACGCCAGGCGAGCGCGCTACCGCTTGAGAGCCACATCCCCAGCCCCCCATGTCCTTTTCCTAAGCCTCAGTGTACACCTCTTCAAAAATATTTTCATTATTGCCACGTTAACAATAGTTGTCTGTTCCTTTTAATTAATATTAACTTTAAAATATCTTTTGATGAATCAACAATATTCACATTTAACTTTTACACTACTTTTCACTTTGTTGTGGTTGTTACCAGGGATTGAACCCAGGGGTGCTCAACTATTGAGCCACATCCCCAGCCCTTTCTATTTTTTGAGATGGCCTCATTAAGTTGTGGAGGCTGGCTTTGAACTTGCAATGCTCCTGCTTTCAGCCTCCCAAGTTGCTGGGATGACAGGCATGCACCACCATACCTGGCTATTTTTTAATTTAACTTTTTAGTATAACATAAAAGTGTTCAAATGATAAAGGCACGTCTTAATTAATTTTCAGAATGAAAATAATCATGTGATTACTATCCAGATACCTTAACTTTTTTTTTTTTGATGGTAGTGCTAGGGAACAAACATAGCTCTTACACATTGTAGGCTACCACTAAGCTACATCCTCAGTCCTTCCTTACTTTCTGATTTCTCTCTCAGAGAATAACCTAATTTCAATAGCCTTGTAGTCAGCAATGTCATTAGTTGTTCAGTGCTGCATGAAAACAGGCCTTACTTGAGGCCTCCAACTGACCCAAATCAGGAATGTCCTTCTGCTGTGGCCCAAGGTAGGTGACATAGGCAAACTGTCCTGTGGTGGCTATTAGGGAGATCCACTAGGGCCTAATGCACACTGCTGGGGTTGATCTTGCTCTGTCTCTTCTCCATGAAAGGTATGGTTACATCCAATGCTCAACAGTTGTATTTTCCTTGGTGACTCTTGATATCAAGATGCAGGGAACAGAGAAGCTTTTTAAGTCCTGCCCTGGGATTGCTAACCAGTGCTCAGTCTTCTGGATTTTTGTTTTTGTTTTGTTTATTTTTCCACCTCTATTTTCTATCTCTGTCCATTCAAGTTATTTAACTTGATTTTCTAACACTTAACTGAGGTAGGTTCTTATTTCTTTTCCATTTCCTCTCAGAGAACATTTTGTTCTGTTTTCATTTATTTAGCATTCATTTTTGTCTGTCATATTTCTCTGTAGGTTTTGTTCATTTTACCATTTTACTTTCCTTTCTGTGAATGGTGTCCACTTTTTCTAAGTTGCTTTCTTACTTTTTGTTCATTTCATCTCTTTCTTCCATTTCACATATCTTCCTCTAATCAACTTTTTTTTTCCATTCATAAAAACAAAAAGCAGATTGGAAATGCTGTACAATCATGCTACTTGCTGACCACTCCCCAAACTTGCTGATCACTCCCCAAACATTTAAAATTTTTGCTTAGATTGGTCAAATTCTTCAGTGAATTCTTTCTATTTTCTGCCTGGAGAGCAAAGCTCTGGCTGCTAGAAATTTGGGAGCCAATGGAGGAAAAGAGCTGGAAAGTTAGTATCAGAGGCATATATTCATTTAATCCCTCTGATTTGCATTACTGATTATACCTAGTATCCCCTAAACCAGAGAACTTCCTTTTTTTAGTATTTATAGATGGACAGAATGCCTTTATTTTATTTGTTTATTTTTATGTGGTGTTAAGGATCAAAACCAGTGCCTCACTAGGCAAGCACTCTGCCACTCAGCTACAAGCCCCAGTCCCCAGAGACACTTTCTTTAACCCTCTGTAAGAATTAAACCTCTAGTCTCATACTTGGGGCAAGGTAATTGCCCAGACAACTGGAAACGTCTATAGGGCTTAGGGATCTAACTGGTTCCCAAACAGCTTTCTCTGTTCACTCCACACCCACACCCCTGTTGAGATTATGCTGCAAGCTCTATCTCCTTTTGGTACTCTGTAACACGTTATCAGGTAGGCTGTCAGCTTTCCTTGTCAGCTGCTTCCTTGGGTTAAGAAGCCCTCTGTTGCTTCCTTGGGGTAATCTACTTTGCAAATATATAAAAGCTACAAGTAAAATAAACTCTCACATAGTCAGCCTTCTATATTTACAGGTCCCCTATCAGCAAATTCAACTAACTGTGGATGGAAAAACAAAAAAACAAAAAACCTGTGTACTGAATGTGTTCAGGCTTTTTCTTATTGTTATTCCCTCAACAATACATTATAACAACTACTTACACAGCATTACCCTCCACTAGATATTGTATGTAATCTATGAGTGATTTAAAGTATATGGAAGGGTGTGGGTAGGGGTTAAATGCAAATGGTATGCCACTTTATAAGCAGAACCAATCCTCTGAAGATATGATAGGACAACTACTGTATGTACAATTTTTTATATCTGCAGGTTTGTTTAGTTATTTCCACCTCCTAAACAAGAAAGGTTATATAGATACTCTTTGGAAGATCTTACCTTCGGCACATAATCCAGCACAAATAAGCTGGGCAGTAATGATAATAAAAATATTTTTTTTAAAACAACAAGCAATGGCAAAACTACTGGAGAACATTTTTATAACGTAGGAGCTGTAAGTCAAAAGATCAAGAGATTTAACTCCATAAAGTTAAAAAACCAATAGATTGAAGAAAATATCTGTAATAAATGTAACAAAAAAATGATTTAGATCCATGAAGTTAGAGGAAAAAACCCAATACACACAAATGAATAAAACTAATGAGCCATAGATAAGTGGATAAATGGTGCAGTCAGACATTTTCAAATTCCAATGGCCAGTAAATACAAAAAGATACACAGTCTCACTAGTATTCAGCAAAGTTTTAGAAAAAACAAGGAATTGACACTGTTTTCACCCATCAGGCAAAAAATTGAAAATATTCTTAAAATTCAAAAAAGTCTGTGAGTTTATGGGGAAACAAGCACATTATAATCCATTAGTAAGCATATCAAAGGCAAATCCCTTTTTAGGAGGTAATGTGGCAATATTTGACAACTTGGAAAGCCCATCTGGGCTGTGGCTCAACAGTAGAATACTGATCAATATGCATCAAGGCCCTAGGTTTGAGTCTCAGCATTGCAAAATAAAATTAAAAGTTACAAAAACTAAAACTAAAAATCACTCCCTTATTAAAGCAATGATTACAATTTTAGGAATCTATTCTAAGGAAATTAATACATGTGCACAGAGATATATGTGCAGGATGTCACTGCAGTATCACTTGCAATAGAAACTGGGAAAATCCTAGATGCCCACAAGTAGGGTTCTAAATAAAATATGATGATACATCCATATTATGGGAAATCATGCACATTAAAAAGAATGCATAAATGTAGAAAAGCTCTGAGACTTATTAATGTGATAAAAAAACAAACTGTAGAACTATGCATACAGTATGATTACTTTTTATTTAAAAATATGTAATATATAGAGAGTACATGTGTATTTGTGCATTAAAAAACTTAGTAGTAATTACCTTCACAAGGAGAATGGTGTATAAGAAAAGGATGAATACTAAGGGTGAGAACTTTTCCATTCTACCTAATAAGATGAGCTGTTTGAATCTTTACAGCAAGAACTATTCATATACCATCCGTGTAACTTTAAAAACTCAAAATAAAAACAAAATAATATACTTGAGGGCTGGAGTTGTAGCTCACTGGCAGGTGCTTGCCTACCATGTGTGATGCACTGGGTGCGATCCTCAACATCACATATAATAAATAAGTAAAATAAAGGTATTTTAAAAATGCTTGAAATTCTAGAAACAGGCTTAAATTTATATAGAAATTAACTTTAATTAGGAGTAGCAAAACAATGGGAGATTGAATAACTTACAATCATTACTGAAGAAACTGGATAAAGGCATGGACAGAATATAAATTAAATTAGATCCATATCTCAGAATATATGAAAAGAAATCTGATTTGTGTTTAACAGATTAATAATACATATTTTTAAAATTGGAAAAAAATGGTTTACAATTTTGTCCCAATTGTGACAGGAAGCTGGGCCTGGTACACACCTCTAATCCCAGTGGCTCAGGAGGCTTAAGCAGGAGGATTCCAAGTTCAAAGCCAGCCTCAGCAATTTAGTGAGGCCCTAAACACCTTAGTGAGACCCTATCTCAAAATAAAATAAAATATAAAAATGAAGGTGTGGCTCAGTGATTAAACATTCCTGAGTTCAATCCCTGATACAAAAAAAAAAGAACCAATTATGACAGGAAGATAATAATTAACTATTGAAGAAGTAGAAGAGGTAAGTGCAAAGTAGATAATTTCAACTATACTGAGATGTAAGTAATGAATAGTAACTAATTATGAATTAAAAGAAAAGTTACATGGTGGTGAAGAAATGTCTGTGAAAATAATAATAAAAGCTCACCATCCTAAAATTTGAGAATAATCATGTGATATTAGGACCTGTTCTGAATAAAAACAATGAAGCTTCAATGCAAGATTCAAAAGAAAAAGTGAATAAATTGAGAGTAATGCTGCATTTAATTCACTTCTAATTACAAATCCAACAGGGACTTTTGATACCTTTACAAATTATATAATAATGTGTACAGATGAACAAACGGTTATAAATACCAGGGAATATAGTAATAAAAAACTGTATCCAAGAGGAATAAATTATTTTGCTAGGTATGTGAACCTATATTTACAATAATAAATAAAACAAGGTGAAATTAGTGTAGAAAGAAAAACATAACTCAGTAGAACAAAGCTAAGAGTAAAAACTTAATCAGACTATATATTCAAAGTCTATCAAGCACTGTTTGGGGAATGATTACACATTCTGGGCACATCCCATTCTACTCTGGGGAAACCACAATGAATAAGTCATGTTTTCATCTGGCTTATATTCTGGGTATGGAAAAACAGGAGGCAAAGAAATCAGATCTTTTCTATTTGTCAAAAGTACTTTGAGGGGTGCTGTGATTGTAGTTCAGTGGTAGAACGCTTGCCTAGCATGTGTGAGGCCCTGGGTTCAATCCCCAGCAACACATAAAACTAAATAAACAAAATAAAGGTACTGTGTCCATCTACAACTAATTAAAAAAAAAAAAAGGAACTTTGATTAAGAGTCTCTGGGTTCAATCCCTGTTATCAAAAAAAAAAAAAAAAAAAGTCTTTAAAGAAAGTAAATAGAATGTGTGGAATGGGAGTTACACTTTGAGACAGAGTGCCAAAAATTCACTATAAGGATTAACATTAGGGCTGGGGATGTGGCTCAAGCGGTAGCACGCTTGCCTGGCATGCGTGCGGCCCGGGTTCGATCCTCAGCACCACATACCAACAAAGATGTTGTGTCCGCCGAGAACTAAAAAAAAATAAATATTAAAAATTCTCTCTCTCTCTCTCTCTCTCTCTCTCTCTCTCTCTCTCTCCTCTTTCACTTTCTCTTTAAAAAAAAAAAAGGATTAACATTAGTACTGGGCCATGATAAATAAAAAGCAGTCATTCAAAGAGCAATAATTAAAGAACCTAGACAAAAGCATGCTAGTGGACAGAAAGAATAAGAAAGCCCTGAGGCAAAAAAATTCTTGAGTTTGAAGAAGAGCAAGAGGCTAGAGTACGGGAATGGACAAAATGTATATGGTGAAGTCAGAAAGACAAAGGAGCCAGACCACATCAGGCTTTACAGGCTGTGATAGAGAATCTGGATTTCACTATAAACTTAATAAATTATATATTAAAGTTTCTTCAACAAAGGGAGATAAAAATGGATTATTTACATTTACCATAACAGTTCAAAAAAATTAATTTGAAAAAAAAATTTTAAATAAGTTTGCATATTTCGTGGGTGGCTAGAGATTAAACCGAGAGCCTCATGCACACTCTATCACTAAGCTAAGTTAGTGTTAAACCGAAATGCAAAAAGAATTACTTTTTCATTGATTATAAGGCAAACCACTGTTTTATGTGTTAACAGAAAAAATGCTGCCAATTATAGTCATTAGATGTCATCTACAGTAATACACAGCCTGATTTTAGAGTTATTGAAGTGTGATAAATGTTCATTCCTAGAATAAATGAAAAACAATATTACAAACCAGGATCTAGACTTCAGTGGACGAGTGGTTCAATTATATCATAGAAGGCTGACATGAAAAGAACAATGTAAGAGTACACATTGAAAAATTAAGCATGGGGCTACGTTTGTGGCTCAGTGGTAGAGCACTTGTCTAGCACAGGTGGGACCCGGGTTTAATCCTCAACACCACATAAAAATAAAGGCATTGTGTTATATCCACCTACACCTAAAAAATAAATATTAAAAAAACCAACCAAACAAACAAACAAAAAAACTAAGCATGACTAATAAAAACTCAACTATTTGTGAGGTATGCCTATCTCTGAGTAGACATTTAAAATGACATACTTCAGTGTTGGAGCTAGGACAGAACACAAACTTATATAGTGCTGGAGGTATTATAAATTAATAGCCTTTCTGAACAGCTATCTAGTAATATATTATAACTAGAAATATTAATTCTCTTTGATTCTGATATTCTGTTCTGGTGTGAATAGGAAAATAATATGCATAAAGAATTAGAGAAATATTAATTTAAAGAAATAGTAAAATGAAATCAATCAAGCCAAGTATGGTAGTCCATGCTTGTAATCGCAGCTATTTGGGAGGCTGAAGCAGAAAGATTGCATGACACAGGCCAGTCTGAGTAACTAAGCAAGATCCTGTCTTAATAGAACATTTTTTAAAAATGTTATTTTTAAAAAACATGCTAAAAAGCATTCAGTGGTAAGAGTGCTTGCTTAATATGTATGAGACCCTGGGTTCCATTCCTAATTCTGAAAAAAAATTAAAAAAAAAAAAAAAAGAAACTGCAAAGTATGTAATGCTTGTTTCCCTAAGCATTCTGCTGACTGGTTCAGTTGAGAACATTCATTTTATCCCTCCCACAATGTTCTGCTTTGACCTATTCTTAAAATACAGAGGTAAGTCATGACAAACTCAGAAGCAGAAAATGTGAAGTCCATGTTTCTGATGAACACCAGAATCTGTAGTAGGCAGTAGGTTTTCCTGGGCTCACTTACATGACCTTGCCCTCTGACTTTTCCCAAAGAAGCTCTATAAACTGTCAAAGGACACTGAAGCCAAACTGGAACACAGACATGATCTTGTGAAAGCAATTGCTCTTTTCTTACACAGCTAAGTCTGTGCTTGACATCTGGTTTTGCCAGACCAAGCAAAATATCACTTAGGGATATTCTTCACATCATAAAACCATAAAAAGAAGCAAAAGAATAATCATCAACTCAGGAATATGAGGAGGCAAGCACAGTGGTACACTCCTGTAATCTCAGCTACTCAGAAAACTGAGTCAGGAAGATGGCAAGTTTGAAGCCAGCATGGGCAACCAAGAAAGACCCTGTGTAAAAATAAAAAATTAAAAGGGCTGGAGATGTAGCTCAACAGTAGAGCACCCCTGGATTCAATCCCAAGACTGCGAAACAAGCAAGCAAACAAACAACAAATAAAATAGAATTTGAGGAGGAATCTAAACAGGGAAGGGAATTAGACTGAGTAGGGATATACAGGAGATTTCAAGGTACTAGTAATATTCTATATAGACAGGAACATAGATGTATATTTTATTAGCATATTTTATTAGCATTCTTTAAACTATACAACTGTATAGGTATATCTTTACTTTTCTACATATATATCTCACAATAAAATTAATTTAAGAATAACAATCTTACTAGGATTCTGATTGGGTTTTCACAAATTTATAATCCGGAAACACCAACATTTTAAAGCTTTCTCAACAGGAAAGGAATGTAATTATTTTCATTTACTTTGTTCTTTTTTCATATTTTTAGCTGAGTTTTAAGTCTTCTTCATTTATATCTTACACGTTTTCTACATTTCAAACTTATCCAACTTTTTGCAACAGTGAATAAGCTGCTTTAATATTACATTTTCAAATTTACTACTAAGGGAAAACTACTAATTTCTGTAAGTTAAACTTGCATCCTGCAAGCTTACTGAACTCTATTAGTGGTTCTAATTGTTTCCAGTTGATTTGGATTGTCTAGGTAATTAATTAATTCACCTCCAACTCTTACATATTCTAAAGCCTAATAATAAAGCCTATCCCCCATTACCATCCTTTTTTTCTCAAAATATTCTTTTGCATTTCTTGGTCACTCATTTTCCTTAATAAGGTTTCCCTTTACTGGGTTAAGACCTTCTGATGGAACAATTCTTGATTTCCCATCTGATATACTGATTAGTACCTCTGAGACTACTGTCATCAGTAGTAGTCTAATGCTTAAATACTATTGTAATAAAATTTCTTTACAAATTTTTTCCATTTTCATAGAAATAGGAAATTCAATCTTAATGGATTTATCTTATATTCTGCCATTTTGCTCATAACATTCATTATGTTCTTCTGTTTTTTCAAAATGATTTCTTTTTTATCAGGGGTGTGTGTGTGTGTGTGTGTGTGTGTGAGAGAGAGAGAGAGAGAGAGAGAGAGAGAGAGAGAGAGAGGGTCTCTCTGTGTTGCCCAGGCCAGTCTCAAACCATCCCCCTCCATTTAGCCTTCCAAGTAGCTGGGGCTATTGGTGCACACAACCATGCCCAGCTTTCTATTTCTTTTATCATTTGCTTTTGTAAAATTGGAGTAAATGTATGAGATACTCTTGTTTTCATAAATACCTATAGATGTTCCCTGATATAACACAGGCTCTGGCTCTTAGTTTTAAACTAAAATTGGTTGCATTTATAAAGTAAACCAGGTTACTGGGAGAGAGGGGAAGGAGGATATTTTTCACTGTATACTTATATGTACCTTTGGAATTCTGAAACATATAAACGTATTATTTCTTAAAAAAATAAAGTTTATACCAATTAAATACATATATACTTTTTAATCAAATAAAAATGCTTCTTATTCCAATTTTAGAATATGTCTTAGGAATATAATCTGTATAATCACTTCTCAGCATCTCCTGACACATATATATTAGCTTCTCTAATAGTCTCTTTAAGAATTTTTCTTTATTAAATTGCTTTGTATTCTTAGGATAAATATAATTTTGTTGTTACCAGAGATTGAACCCAGGAATGCTCGACCACTAAGTCACATACCCTTTTAATTTTGAGACAGGGTCTCACAAAGTTGCTTAGGGCCTCAATAAGTGGCTGAGGCCGGTTTGGAACTTTTCCTGCCTCAGCCTTCTGAGCCTCTGGGATTACAGGCATGTGGCACCACACCTAGCTAGGATAAATATAATTTTGACCATCAATACAGGTTGAGTAATCATTATATAAAATGCACAGATCCAGAAGTGCTTCAAATTTTAGAATTTTTTCAGATTTAAGAATGTTTGCGGGACTGGGATTGTGGCTCAGCAGTAGAACGCTCGCCTAGCAAGGCCGGGACCCGGGTTCGATCCTCAGCACCACATAAAAATAATGGCATTGTGTTGTATCCATCTACACCTAAAAAAATAAATATTAAAAAAAAAAGTCCTACAGAAGTAGGACTTAAAAAAAAAAGAATGTTTGCATAAACATACTGAGATATCTTGGGAATGGGACCCAAGTCTAGACAAAATTCATTTGCATTTCATATATACCTCATACATGTACCACTGAAGTAACTATATAATACTTTTAGCAGACCTGCATTTAGACTGTGATGCATCATATGAGATCAAGTATAAATTTTCTACTTGTGCTCAAAAATTGTGGATTGTGGAGCATTTCAGATTTTAGGTTTTGGATCGGGCTGCTCAATCTATAATTCTTCTAATATTCCTGATAGAGAAAGAATTTTAGGGTTAGAAAAGAGTATCTGGTATTTTTGTAAATCAGAAAAACCTACACACACAGAACAGTCAAAATGCAAACAAAAACACTCAAAGCCAATAAAGCTTAAATGATTTGTTGAAGGATGAGAAACCAAGACTTACAACCCCTTGGCTCAATATTTGGCTTAAGTTTGTTTTTTTTTTTTTTTTTTAACTAATTTTGTACCAATACCAATATGCAATATTTGAAAACATTTTCCTTTTATAATAAGGTTTCTGAATGATAAACAATTTACTCCATAAAAGCAGTATGGGTTTGTTGCTGTTCTAGGTTTAAAAACCTCTAGAGTCAGTTCTTTCTTCTTCTTTTTTTTTTTTTTAAACATTTCTTATTTCATCCTAATATAGAATTATTCCAGGTACCTTTGTATTGACCTCATTTGGGCATTTATTTTTGTGTGTCAGCTATTTCAAATATATTAATGACATAATTATGTGTCAGCCTCTAAAAATAATGTTTTATCATTCTGATTTTCAGATTCCTTATTATAAATTATCAATTAAGTCAATTATTTATTGATTTTTACTGTTTTTTCAAAGGCTAAACCTCTTAGTTTCTATTTACACCTGACTGATTTGATCATCCTAAATCCAACACACACTAACTACTTAACAAATGTCCATTAAATTATAAAACTACACTTCTCTCTTTTTTCCTTTCTTTGGTGCTAGGGATGGAATCCAGGATATTGCACATATTACCTATCATAGGCTACACTCCCCATCCCATGTTTCAGTTTCTAAGAAGGCAATGAAACCAATCTTCAAGTAATTTCTAATTTTCAAAAAGCACAACAAAAATGATTTTTACTTAGTCAAGACTCCATAGACTAAAGTGTCAAGTTTCTTGCGTTAGGCTACCACTGTAGGTGAAAATAAAAAGCATAAATGTTAGCTGGGCATGGGGGTGCACACCTATAACCCCAGCAACTCAGGAGGTTGTGGTAGGAAGATCCCAAGTTCAAGGCCAGCCTCAGCAACTTGGCAAGACTCTATGTCACAAAATTAAAAAGGCTAAGGATGTAAGCATCCCTGGATTCAAACGCCAGTATCAAGAGAAAAAAAAAGGGGGAGGCATGTTAGTTTGATAGATGAAAGAAAATTTAAAACATGAAGACCAAGTGCAGTATAAAGGCTGGGTAGAAACAAATAAAACCCAAAGCTTTCTTTTAGGGTTGCTACTGAGCTTTCCCATAGCACCATCTAGTGGACATCCAGCAACTTTTACCACTATCAATAAGGAGAATGACAAAAGGAACTACAGATTGGATTTTTCAAAAAACACCTGCAATCTCTGAAAAACTGCTGCATCATTAGCTGACTACACATACCTGAATGAGGTCCAAGATCCCAAGTTCACTCTCTGATGAATCCACACAAAATACAAAGTAGAGGGTAGCATAGTGCCGGTAAATCAATTTGTAGTCAGCGCCACCAATCAAACTGTGGAAGATGGGAAACATTTAAACGTCTTTATTTTATTTATTTATTTTTTTTTTTTTAAGAGAGAGTGAGGGGGGGGGAGGGGGGGGGGAGAATTTTTTAATATTTATTTTTTTAGTTTTCAGCGGACACAACATCTTTGTTTGTATATGGTGCTGAGGATTGAACCCAGGCCGCATGCATGCCAGGTGAGCGCGCTACCACTTGAGCCACATCCCCAGCCAGTAAACGTCTTTATTTTAAACTCTGCCAAGGAATGAGAAAGGGCCCAATCAAAAAGGGAAAGCTAAATGCTAAAAGCAGACCATTTCTACCATGTAAATGGCAACCAAGTTTGGTAGAGATACCTAAAGCCACCTTAACTCACCTTTTTTCCTGCCAATCCTCCTAGGCACCAAATATCTACCTGTGTAATACATGAAGCACAATAATGCAACTGCTTCACAAACAGAACTGGGCTCTTGAGTAAATCATGTTCAAGTTGCATCAAGTACACACATACTAGAGTATGACAGAGGAACAATAATGATGAAGGCCACCCAAAAGTGGTGATATGGAGAGAAAAGTGAAGCTGACAGTTTACCTTCCACCCTCCAAGAAGTTACAGATGTTGTCATCCCGCTTTAGGACAAGATGGAAAGTCTCTCGAACAATCTGCTGTTGAATTTCTTCTGGCTATGGACAAAATAATAACAATAACAAGGTAAATCAGAGGACAAATTTTAAAAACTACATCCCATCATTGAGGATGGCCAGGGAAAACAAGTGCTTCAAAATTGGGAACAACATTTAGTACTAGTTTCCCAAAAAGATAAAAACTACAGGTAGTGAAAAAACAGTGACTATAGAAAAACAGAATTTGCTATAGGAATTAAGACCAGGTATATGTTCTAGGTATCTTGGTCATTAACTATCTTATAAGTAAGCTGCAGGGCTGCAGACATAGCTCAGTGGTAAAATGCTTGCTTAGCAATATAAAGAGCCTTAAGTCTGATCCCAGCACAGCTTTATAAATAAAAATAAAAACTCATACAAAGAATAACCAAAGTCCTGATCCTAAAGTTTGTCTTCAACTGGAAAACATCTATGACAAGTAAATAACAAACCTCGATGCTTCTAGCACTCCATGAAGATCAAGATATAATCATTTACATGTTTTAAAAAACTAAATTTGCCCTCGTTTGTAGTGGTTACACAGGTACTACATATAAAATCGATGTTACCAGTGGGGTAAAGCAGTGAATGCCTGTAATCCCAGGCACTTGGGAGGCTGGCAGGAGAATTACAAGTCTAAGGCCAGCCTAGGCAACTCAGCAAAATCCTGTCTCAAAATAAAAGTTTTAAATGTGCTTGAGGTGTAGCTCAGTGGTAAGAGTGCTACTGAGTTCAATTCCCAGTACTGCTAAGGAAAAAAAAAAAAGAAAGAAAGAAAGAAAAAATGTTGTTATCAACAAAGTTATTGAAAAAGACAGAAAAAGTTCTTTGCACAGTTGAGAATTTAGAACAGTTGAACAGAGCTAAAAATAATTTTTTTGCACTTACCATTCAATTACTACACACTTGATAACTCACATTTTACTTCCACTTCTACATATGTGTTTCACAATATTACTAGTATGGTAACATAAAAAAGGATAATAGGAGGGAGAAGCCGGTCAATAAGACAGAAAGTAATGAAAAGCTCTAGTCCCAAGTTCTCAAATCTACTAATGTGCAAGCAATCAGCTAGGACTACTGTATAGATGTAGATTCTGATTTACAAGGTTTAGGTTAGGTGCTGAGACTGCAATTCTAACAAGCTCCCAGGTGATGTCAATGCTGCTGAATTGGGACTATGAGTAAGTAGCAAAGCTTTTTTTTTTTTTTTAATTTTTAAATAAAAAGAAAAAAAATCTTCAGATTGAACCTGCCCAAGAGTCAGATAATATGATCAAGTAAATTTTAAAAAGTTATTCAGTAGAAAAAGAAAACAGGGAAAATGTCATTATGAGGAAATTACTTTGACTCAGTGTGGGTATAGAGTGGCTCAGTATTTATTGAATAGACTAATACAAACTTGCTAATCACTGGTCACTGCTAATTAGAGTAAATCAATCACTATTATCCTGGTTTCTACCTAAAGAACACACAAAGCTCACAGATGCTAGGATGTTGTAAAAGATTAACTCTGTGTGCTCAGAAATACAAAACATGCCAAACATCAGCATTTTTTGAAACTGACAAAAACATCTTTTAAACTAAAGCCTTTCATCTGACTCTAGGGGAAAGTGGCAGCAGTGAGAAGGTGGTATGAAAGAATGAGACCAACTAATTTCTAGTTCATCAAAAAGGCAAACTACCAGTTGCCTCCATGCTTCAGTTATTTTTAACAACCCCTCATATCTTTTTAGGACTCTGCAGTTTTCAAGGGACTTTCACTCATTAACTCATGAGTTCTTATAAAAATCCTATGATATCCAAAGATATAGAAATGGCCAATAAGCACAAGAAAAGATGCTCAACATCATTAGTCATTATGGAAATAGAAATGAAAATCTCTTTATACCCACTAAAATGACTTTACTTAAAAAGGCAAACAACAGGTTTTTGTGAGGATGTGGAGAAAAAAGGAATCCTAATACACAGTTTATGGAAATGTAAAATGGTTCTGCCACTTGTAAAACTGTTTGGCAGTTTCTGAAAAAATACACTACAGAGTTACCACATGATCCAGCAATTCTACTTGTAGCTGTGTAGCCAAGAGGAATGAAAATATATGTCCATGCAAAAACTTATTCGTGAATGTTGAAGCAGCATCATTCACAAGAGCAAAGAGTAGAAACATCAACTGATGGACAAAATATGATATTATCCATACAATGGAACATTATGATAATAAAAAGGAATGAAACACTGATACATGCCTGCTACAACATAGAACACTGAGAACATTTTACTAAATGAAAGACTATACATTGTTATGGATCCATTTATATGCAATGTCCAGAATGGGCAAATTAAGAGAGACAAAAAGTAGGTAAAAGGTTGCCTAGGGCTGGGAGTGTTGAAAGAGAAATAGGGAATCACTGTTAATGGATAGGAATTGCTTTGGTGGGAGAGATGATAAAAATGTTCTAAACTTGACTGTGAAGGATGTTATTGTACACTTTAAATAGGTGAACTGTATGTTATGGTGACTTACCTCTCTAACACACACATACACACACACACACACACACGCTTCTCTCAAATATAAATTGAAAAGTTATACTGGATGCTCATAATTTTTTTTTTACCTCAATGTAATCTACTCAATAAAATGTAACCTAGCTTTTAAAATTTTGTTTAAAAAAAATTATTTTTCATTTCTATTTGACAAAAGAGAAAATAAAAGTCTGAAATAGGTTTACTAACTTGCCAATAGACACAAGAATAGAAAAGGTGGAGCTAAGGCCTGAATGTAAGTTTTGGGTTTCAGTCTCCCCGTTATATAACAATTTTGAAACCTGGCCGCGAAGAAATAAAATGTTGAGGGTCAGGACCGCAAATATTTCTGTTTTTCCAGAGGAATATTTTTTTGGAAAATTCAAAGGAAATGCTTATTGAGCCTTCACGTGGCAGCATGTATAATTCCTCATCATTTTTCCATTTTCAAAGTGATTTTCTTCAATCCTACTGAGTAAAAGGTAGTAGTCCCTAGGCAGCCCCAGCTACCACGGGGGGGGGGGGGGGGAATTCCAAGAAAGAATTTTTTCAGATCCCCTGAAAAACAAAAACTGTAAGAAGCCGAATGTCTATTTCCTCGAGAATCTTTGGTCAACAACCAAAAAGATTAAAGAAAGTGACTTAAACCATTTAAGTTCTCAATGAGACACACTCCCCACCGTCTCTTATACCTGGTGCCGAGACGCAAATGTCAGAAAATAACACAGAAAATATGGAGTCTAGAAAGCGTTCAGAAAAGAGCGGGGGCAGCGGGACTGGAAGCCAAAGGCCTGACACCCCCCAGTTCAGGGAAAGAGGCTAAGTAGCATGAGGGTCGTGCACAGTGCAGTAGCCCGATGGGGTCAGCAGGCAGTGCGGGGTGAAGGCTAGGAGCCTAGGGGGCGTTCAGAAGGGGCGTGGCGAACCGGGCGGCACTCACGAAACGCTGGTAGAAGCGAACCAGCCGAGGCTTCCCGTGGTTGTTGAAAACCAGAATCGCCTGAATCATCTTTGCCAGGGACGCTTCCCTCGGAATCTGCTGCTACCCGAAAGCGCCTCCTTCCGTCACAACACAGGCACTTCCGGCTGGTGCCTTGCTAAGAGCCGCTCCCGGAAACTCAGCTCCAGCGCCCAGGAGCCCGGCTATCCAAGGGTCCCGCCTCTCTGGGGAGGGCAAGTGTGGGCGTCTAGGACCGGCGTCTTCCTGGCCCGCATCAGTTGGCCAGTCAGAACCTGACCGGAACCGGATTCTGGATCTGTGCACCCCCAGCAGACTCCAGAATCCCGGCGCACAGCAGAGCACTTCGGAAAGCTGATCCTGAAGCTGCCGCTCCTGCGGTGGAGAAGAGACAGTGGAACCTTGCCTTTCTCACCATCTGCACCAAACACGCATTCCTGCCCTCTCCATAACGCTCACAGAGCGCTCTCGGATTGGAGAGCCGCTGAGTTTAGCCATTCTTCGGTTCATTTTTATTTTTCAGTATTACAGACAATGCTGCAGTGATTTATATAAATGTCGCATGGTGCAAATAGGCTGCTTCTCCACCGGTAGATGGTGTATGTTGGAATTACGGGCTCTTTAATGCAATTCTATGTAAAAGGTACCGGAGTTCACAAATTGATAATGTTCTTGTTTTCTCTTTTAATGACCTAATATGGATGAGATGGAGCATGTCCTTACACTACGGGTGACTGTATATCTATTCTGCTACAAACAGGGGAACCATTTCATTTGATGTGAGTCAAAAGACTTTATGCATTATATTCCAGTTCCAGAATTTATAATAAAATGTGGATGTGTGAAAAGATTTAGACTTGAGAAGGTTACGTGTCAGCAGTGTTATTACAGGGGAAAATGGGAGACAAGCTATTCCAAAATGAGAAGTTGGTTAAATGCATTGTTCTACATGCATGAGAAATTCTAAATGGTTTTTATGAATGATTTATGATACAGGAAAATGTTCATGATTTATTAAGTGAAAAGATTACACAGAATATGTACAGGACAATTCACTTTGCACAAGACAAAGTAAATACACTAAAATATGAATAATAATTGTATCTGGTGGAATGGCAGCGTCAGCAGGTTTTTTTGTTCAGCGCAGGCCCTGGAACCATACTGTCCTGATTCAAATTATGGCTCTGGCACCTTGGGTAAGTGTTCTCATTTGTAGAACAGGCATAATATCAAGTTTCCTACCTGGAATACTGGGAAATGATTCTACTCACTCCAGACAAAAGGAATTAATATTTGTTAGTATTTGTAAGAGAGTATTTGGAACATAATTGAGTACTAGATAAGTGATTTTAAAACATCTTTGGGTGTCGGATTATGGATTTTTTTCTAATAAATATATATTACTTTTGTAGTCAAGAGTTTTTTTTTTTAATAAATAAAAATCCTGAAGGTAATTCCATTGAAACTTAACAAAATGTTTTAAGTGTTGAGAAAGAATATCCAAGAAAACTCTAAAACAAAATTAAGAGGAACAAGTTCTACCAACTACTAAATCCTACTAGAATGGTTTAACTTGTAATTAAAGGGAGACTTATTGAAATATAATAATAATTTAGGCATAATATAATTTTAATCAATGATAAAAACAAATTGTAAACAAAAAATTGTAATTTGACATTGTTAAGAAATTTTGTAAATACTGTTAAGGTAACCGATTAGCAATTTGAAAATAAGCAGTTTCCTCACTTTCAGTTTGGGTATATACTAGTGTTGAACCCAGGTACACTTTACCACTGAGCTTTTTTTTATTATTATTATTGCTTTATTTTAAGACATCCCCAATGCTTTTTTTTATTATTATTATTGTTTTATTTTAAGACAGGCTGGCCTGGAACTTGGAATACCTCCTGAATAGCTAGGATTACAGGCTTGCACCACAATGCCTGGCCACTGAATATCTAATATCTGAAAAGAGACTGTATTAGCTTAGAAACAATTTTTTAAAAAATGACAAAATATCAACAACTGTATGTATATAAAGATTATAATTTTGCACGAAGAGGGAAATTTTGAAAGTGGAAAAATAGTTGTTAAAATATGGCAAATGATCATATTTAAAATACAGTAGATAAATGAGTAAAGAAACTGAGTAACAAAAGAGGAAATAGATACAGGAGATAAAAAAAATACTTAAGCTCACTTAAATGGGGAAAAGGACAAATTAAAATATATTAAAGTGTATTTTCACCTTATCAAATATCATTTTAAAAAAATTTTTTTTTATCCAATTCTGGCAAAAAAAAAAAAAGCATGAAAATGGTTCTCTCCTACATTGCTAGTGAAATTACAGTTTAGAACAACCCTTTGGGGAAGCAATTTGGCAAAATAACAAGAATTTTACAAAAGATTCTGAGATTCCCAGTAATGTGACTCTTGGGAATCTGTTCTAAAAAACAAACAAAAAAACAAACCAAGAGTGTGGCGGGGGAGAAGAGGGTTGAGGGCATAGCCTTTTCAACATTTTTTGTTGAATAAACATTTTTTGTTGGCTAAATAGACTTAAATACCCCAAAATTAGACCATGATAGAACTATTCAACAGTCGTCAATGTTATAAGTGATGGTTATAAAGACTATGTAGCAGTATGAAAAGTGATTATGTAACATTAATGGGAAAAGTAATATCAGATTTTATGTGTAGACATATTAAAAAACAAAATACTAAAAAAAATTTATAAACATGAATGAATGAAATTCTGGGTTTTGTTTTTTTTTTTACCCCCAGGGTGCTAGGATGAACCCAGGGTCCCCACACAGTTGCTGAGGCATAGCAGCTTTCATTCTCCTGCCCTAGTTTTGGGGAAGAGGATTTTGCCTCAGTTTCCCTACCCTCTGAGCCTGGAACCCTCAACCCTTTTGGTTTTTCCTCCTCCCCTACACCCCCTAGACACAGGCTGGGCTTCTGCAGAACCTTCGTATCACAATACAATTTACCCGGACACTGGATATCATTCTTGGGCCCATCCTCTTCCCATGTCCTACTGATTCTGCCCCTGAGTGCCCCTGGAACCATTTTCTTCTGCCCACCCAATTAGTGCTATAGACCCCAAATTGTCAGCCTCACACCTAGACAATTGTGAGGGTCTCCTATGAACTTATTACTGCCAGTCTCTCTGCAGCCAAATGAGCTTTGAAACACCTGAAGATGAGACCATACCTGATCTCCATCTCAAGAGTCTTAGTTCAAATATACCTCCCACCCTCTGAGCTCTGGCAAAAATGGTCTTTCCCTTCCTCAGTCCCCTCCAAGACCCTGAATCCTGATTGTTACTTCAGGACTTCCAGTAGTTAATACGGTCTTTGAAACCTGACACAAAAGGCCTCCTTGTTTGCAGTGGTGGCCTGCTTGTGAGTTTACCATCAACCACAGTGCTTTGGATAGCAGGGTACCTGCACTGGGTGTTTCTACCCTCAGTCAATGTCCCAGTTCACCTCCTGCTCAATCACCTTCCTGACCACCTCCAAGGCTGAGGGCCCAACTTGAGTTGCCTATAAACCAGCTCCATTCAGATATAGGCCACCAGTGAGGTGGCTACTACATCCTCTGGCCCCTATATCCAAAACTCTTCTATAGGTCAGGAAACAGAGCACAGTGGAAGGCATGTAAGCTTCACCTTTGACAGCTCTGGATTTGAATCCCACTCTGCCATTTTTTTTTCGCTCGCAAGTTCTTAACCTCTCTGAGCCCCATTTTCTCCTGTGTAATGTGCATGTGGAAACAAAATAGTCCAGTAGTTAATATGGTCTTTGAAACCTGACTGCCTGGGTTTAAATTCCTCTCTCAGATAGTATCCATGGAGCCTTAGACCTTCAGTCTCAAATGAAATAATGGGGACAATAATCATGTGTACCTCATGGGATTGTGACAGTTAGGCAAACTATTGGAAGTACTTAGCACAAGTGCTAGCACCAGGAAGAACACAATAGTGAGTGGCTGTAATGATGATGGGAAGCACCCAACACTGTTTGAAACATCGGAGAGACTCAATAAATGCTAATTTCCCACCACCCTCTTTTCCCCAGGTCAAGAAGGATTCATATGCCATGGACATGCAGATTCCACTTCGGATCTCATCACATCTGGGTGTCACAAACTGTCACAGAACACTTCCAGGGCAAGGTTCATGACCCAAGACCAATGGCTTTCTTCTAGGAACATTGCTCAGCTTCAAGACCATTAACACCAAGCAGGAATCCAGTCAGTGTAGAAGAAAATTTATTCATTTGTGAAAACATTCTCAAAGTACAAAAAAGGGTATCAAAAATGTAGTTCAGGGCTGGGGATGTAGCTCAGTGGCAGAGAGTGCTTGCCTCATATGCTTGAGGCCCTGACTTTGATCCCCAGCACCACAAAAACAAAAAAATATGTGGCCTGGCAGAGCAAGTCTGAAAGCAAAGGACCAATCAGCCACACTTGTGAAGGCTGTTGGCCTCCCTGAGAACAGCTACCCCTATGGCAGCAGCCAGGGAAGTCAGGAAACCCCAAGGGAACATGGAGTTAGAGGAGCAATGAAGGACTGGCACCTTAGGTGTGAGACTGGAGGAAATGGGGGAGAAGGAGGCTGGAAGCAGGGGAGAAGGGGCTACAGCAGAGTGCTGGGAAGGAGGCCAGGTGGAAAGAAGCAGGAAACAGATTGGAGAAAAGAGCCCACTAATTTCTCCTCAGAAGTCCTCTGCCTTTAGACAGGAGAAGAATCCCCCATGAAGTACCAAGACCAAGTCCAGTTCCTCCCAAACTGCCCTGGGGTACTTGCCCACTACCTGCCTCCAAAACAAGGTGGTCACTAGGGCAGGAAGTGTCATGAAATTATCTAGAAGGTTGGACTTGCATTTAAGCCATAGTTTAGGGTCCCTCCATCCACATCGTGGTTTTGGATTTGATTTCAGCATGCTCTAAAAGCAGCTGCAGGAAGAACTGGGTAAGGCTTGGAAGACTGGTCTCCAGCTTCAACATGGAGGTCACTGAAGGAAATTGTCCACGGTGCCATAGAAGATGCAGGTGGCCCCAGAGGCATCCGTGCTTCATGAATCTCAGTCATCCTGGAGCAATCCAAAGGGGGTAAAGTAAATAGAGGTGAACAGAGCATATTTCATAAAAGTTTTCTGTAAGTCATCAAACAAGGGTTCAATTGCA